GTTTTTCTTTTCCCTAAAATTTTCGCCCGGGATTTATCATTTTCGCGGACTTTTTCGCGCAAAGTGCAGTGCAGTTATCCCTTAGAGACACGCGGCTTAATTTAATTAAACACGCGCTCTTCTGGGTTGAGTTATGGTCACGTGGCAATGGCTTATGTCGCCCACGTTCTCTTTCTGACTAACCAGAAGTTACTTTCACTTCTTGTTGCCTTATTACAAACAACAGAAACAATGCCCCTAGCCCGAAAATAATAACAGCTGCTAACAATGAAAAGAATTACAAGCTTTCGAGAGCTGCTACACTTCTGATGCCTGTTCGAGATTCTCCGGAAAACAAAACTGATTGACTGTTTCCCTCGGCCGGACCAGTAATTAAGTGTATAATGCGTTCCACTCAATTGCGTAAAGGTCCGGTAATACGGGCAACATTTTTCTTCAACTTGTCTCGCAACATTGTTGCATTGCAAGTTGAAACACATTGCTTGCGCGTATTACCACGTTTGTGACCAACTTGTCTCGCAGNGCACGTGCGTCTACAACAGACAAATAAACACGATGTTTCATTGAACAGATCTACAAGCAATTTGAGTTCATATTCCAGATGCCGCTTGGAAACGTTCATAAAGGTCCGGTAATACGGGCAACATTTTTATTCAACTTGTCTCGGAACATTGTTGCATTGCAAGTTGAAACACATTGTTGCGCGTATTACGACATTTGTGACCAACCTGTTTCGCAGCAAATAGTGTTGCAAGTTGAGGTCACATGTTACGCAAAGTAGACTCGAGTTCTACTTTCTGCAACAAATTTTAGTTTTGCTGCTCGTATTACCACTGAAGCTACAACTTGTCTCGCAACAAATTTGAATTCAACGCTTGTGATTGGTTGTCGCAAAGTGCGGCAAAAAAAAACAAAAACAAAACAAGGCGGAAGGTGACGGCGAGCCTGAATTCGAAGTAGACCAGTAACTCTCGGAAAGTCATAACTTTCTCCTTTACAAAGACCACG